CTAATCATCTCGGAGAAATCGGAATCTTCCCCAGAAGCTATGTTCGATTACTTGAAGATATGCCGAATGCTGAATCTGAATGTGTTTCTAGAAAGTTTTGATTTGAAATCGCTAGTTCTATCATAAAAACTGTTCACTGTATGCCTAACCTCGTTTACATTATTCGGAATGTCTTCAAGTAATCGAACATAGCTTCTGGGGAAGATTCCGATTTCTCCGAGATGATTAGTGCCTTCTAGCCAATTTTCGTCGATTTCCCTTCGTAGAGTCACCAATTCACCCTGAACGAAAGTTAGTAGCTTCGAGAACACGAAGAAGAAGGTATTTGAAAGGTCATAGCGATAACCTACACCTAGAAATTTACGTCGGTATCACGAAACTGCATTGAATACGCTTAACCATGATTTTTCAAGGAACGGACCATTCAAATTAAGTTGGAAACCCAAGCTTTCTTCATGCACTTGCTAATTTTTTGAGCACTGTTCTTCATTTCCCAGTATTAGTGACACTAACATCAGCGCCACATCCTCAATGGTTGACCTAACCCGCCCATACGACGAGCGTGGAACGTGCCTTCGACATCGGCTAGAGCGAGCCAATTAGCTGGTGGAACTTTTGAGGACATCTATATGTTATCGAGATTCAGTGGTATGAAGAGCTTACAGTCACATTCACTGCAGATGATGGGGTGTGTCAGACGGGATAGGTTGAGCACGAGCGCCAAACTGTTTTCTACCAGTTGTCGAAGCGGGTAAGTGAAAGGAACTGGTGGAATGAGTGATACGAAGGATATGATGTAGTTTTCCCCGCTTGCCGAAGGAGAACGAACGGGCCTCGCCAAACGCAACCGCGCTGACATGCCTCGTCATCTGTACAGTCCTCATCATTGCGGACCGGTGGGGCGTGGCAGTGCGGCTGCTTTGGTGCGGTTTGGCAAAATCGTTCTGCACCAGTTTTTGAAGCGGGCAAGTGCATTACTGTATTATATCCTTCGTATTACTCGTTTTCTACCACTTTTTGTCGCATACGCGTTGCAACAAAAAGGCTGAGAACGGCTTCATACGAAGGATATAATACAGTAATGCACTTGCCCGCTT